GTGCCCACAAAAGCTCATGACACTATCCAGTTTTTCCAGTTACAGACTAACTCGGCTACCCTTCTGAAGCTTGTGTCACAGAGAACACAGCACCAGGAGTTGCTGCAACTATTCTAAATGGAAGGTCTTTAGATGCAATCAGTATTCCAGTTTCCCAACAATACAGCCCATCTTACAGGCATAGTACATTAGAAGATATTTTTAACCGTCTGGAGCTACACTCTGAGGAGACAAGAGACTCACATCCATTGCCTTTTGTTCTAGACAACAGGAAAAAAAATCTGGTAAATTCCATTTGCCTACTGGGTAAGCAGATTCAATTAGCGAACCAGCTACCTACAATACTTGAGTACAAAGGGCGTGTTTTGGGTATGACAAATGAAAGATAAGTGCCTCTTCTAGAATGTCTGTAACCGAGTAACTACTCTGAAAATGATTAAGTGAAACCTGAATAAATTAGGGTACACGGAACTTTAAAAAAAAAAGTCTTTGACCCGTTCCAGAGACTGGCAACAGGTTCCATTTGTGAGGCGGGAGCTAGTCATTCTGAATGCCAACTGAAGTCACCCGGCTGGTGGTCTCATGGGAAATGGGGGATGAAATCAAAACATTCCTATATACCGATACAAGGTCCAAGGAACAGACAATAGTGACGGCTGTATTTCAAAGAAGAAAAAAGTCACAAGTGCCTGGAACGTGGATCAACCAGTTGAAAAAATGCTCTGTAAGCTGAAGGACTTCCTTATAGCAATGAATGAGATACCTCAACCACTCGGAGCAAATATCCATCAGATAACCTAATACAGTAACTAAAGCCACCATCTATACCCAACAACATAAAATAGGGGTGTGTGGGGGGTGTGGGTGTGTCAAGGAAGGCAGGCCAACAATAGGGATGTTAAATAATGTTTAATCAGCTAATTGAGTAGTTGATGGAATTTCCACTGACTACTCGATTGGGCGATAAAGGGGGAACTGCGGAACCGCAGCGGGGTTAGCTCCCATCCCCAGGAGCTAACTCCGCTGTGGCTCTGCCTTTTAAATGTATTAAGAGCTGCCAGGCTTTTAATACATTTAAATGCAGACACACAGTGTATGGGACTGGGTGCAAGTCAGAAATCAGCTGATTCCCGACTCACAACCGGTCCCACACTACACCTCTGACTTCCCTGCCTCCACAGAGACAGTGCTTGGGGGAACCAGCCTTTAAGCCAGCTCCCCCCACCCCCTTGCTGCCTCTCTCTGATAGAAGCAGTGAGGGGGGGCCCCCCCGTGGGGAGGAGGAAGCAACTAGTTCAGTCACTACTCGGCTACCCAATAAGCATATGCTTATCAGGTAGATGGCTATTCGACTAGTCACTTACATCCGTAGTCCACAATTGTATTTACGTTTAGAACTTTATTTGTAAACCAGTTACTTAAAGCGTTTTCAAGATTTTAAAGATTTTTTTTTTTAAGCTGAATCAAATGTTTACATCTTCCCATTGCTAAACTAGTGGGTTTCTCTCACTGACATAAGAATGCATAGTAATGCACTTTTCTTATATTTGTGGGGTTTTTCCCAAATGCCCTCTTACCACCTGCAGTCAGTGCTACTAAAACAACCAAATGGACTGGTTCTCACATGTATGCACCTAGAAGCTCCTCCCTCCCCTTTTCAGTCACAGCTTAATGGACGGAAAGAATTGAACATACACGCAACACAGCTAGGTGGCCAACTTTTCAATCTATCAACACTCAATATGTCTCTTCATTAATGTAGAAGATATTTAGCTGGAATTAAAGTTGCATCCATTGTATTCGTCCTTGCATTCTGAAAGTTCACAGAGAACTGCCATATATATGACAGAGTGCAAATTATCATTTCTTTTGCTTTGTTAGGAATGAGGCCCATGGTGTACTGACCACAGGGAGGAGAGAATGCATACCATAATTCATGCTCTAGAGTCTCTAAGTGAAATTACACTATTACAGTGTGAAATGTGAAAGTATTTACAATACTAAGTGATGAGAGACAGCCTGAACAGCTAATTAGCCTGGACTGCAGTCATTGCTGGGAATTTCTGTTCGCCAATTAGAGATTCCAGATGGAAGCTAAATAGATAGGTCACCCAACTGTGCTGAAAGTTGTGTTCTACCAGAGTTAAGGAGGACAACACATTTATTCCACAACTGTTCACTAATTGATTTCTGTCACATTAGTCTTATTAGCGCCTCAATTTTAAAAAGAACAGGCAAGTGCAAACTAAACATACAAGCTGCCATATTCGTGATCCCACAAATGTAACAACTTATAGCAACAAATACTCCCAACTCAGACCTTGTTCCGGTATGCACACGTTGCACTTCAGGACATGCAAGTTACCTGCTCGTTCTCAGAACAGAATGAAAGGAGCGGGTTTTTTTTTCGGTTTTCTCCCACAGATGCTTATGGAAGAGCAGAGGCAGTTCAGTCTCCACGGGGAGACCGAAGTTTTCAAAATCATTTACAGATGTGTTGGGGTTTGTCGGTTTCCTCTCCCCCAAAAGAGATAACTGTTGTTTCTATTCCCCTACCATCCCACGCCCAGCTGATGTTTCCTAGTTACAACAGTGATATCCTTACAAGTACACAAGTTTTAGAGGGGGGGGTAGCCGTGTTACTCTGTAACTGAAAACAGCCAATAGTCCTGCAGCACCTTAGAGACTAACAAAACACGTCGATGGTACCAGGAGCATTCGTGGGCACAACCAGCGAGTAGCAGACGAGGACAGGTTGTGCCCACGAAAGCTCACGATAACATCGACATTTTCTGTTAGTCTCTAAGGTGCTGCAGGACTATTCACTTTCCTCACAAGTAGAGTTTTCCAGGGTTCCAATCCAGCAAAGCACTTAAGCATGCCAGGCGTCCTACTGAAATCAATGGGCACACAAAGACAAGACAATGCTTCAGTGCTCTGGTGAACCAGGGACCAGAACAGGAGCACAATTTGCTACACGCTGTTCTTTAAGACTCCAAATCATCCTAGTCTGCTACACAAATATTTTATAGATTACAACTGACATTCTCTCTAAGCCGCACGGCTGCGCTGGGGCTATTAAGCTCTGTGCAGAGGCTCACGATTGCAGCGGGAAGAGATACCTCTCCCCATGCCCCGAAGCTGCCGCAGGTGGCATGAGAGGGACCCTTCCCTACCCACGTTAGCAGGGAGCAAGTGTGGCCGGCAGGGAAGCAGTCAAGCCAGCAAGCGCAGCTCCTAGGCAGGGGGGTGGTGGGAGCAGCGCACGGCGTGGGCCAGAAGCGGGACCTGTTACTTGCTTCCAGGATACAGTGCGGTGCCTAAGGACAGGCAGGCACCAGGCAGCTTGCCTTAGCGCGGCTGACCAGGAAGCACCCAGGTACGCCCAAGCCCCAAACCCCTCCCATCGAGATCCACGTCCTGCACCCCAAACCCTGCATCCTTGAGCCCACCCCACAGCCCTCACCCCTTCCTACACTCTAAGCCCCTATTTCAGCAGCCACCAACCAGTAGCTTGGGATCTACTGGTTGGTCTTGAAGCCTCTGACAGGTGATCCTGACTGGGTTGGGCAAGAGGCTATCAAGTGCCAGCACTTCAGCTGCCACGGCCGCTGCCGCCTTTCCCCCACAGCTCCAGCCCTTTGCCTTGGAGCTGTCCCCTCAGGAGCCTCCTGTGTTCTGGGCAGGGGAAGGAGAGGTGGGGAGCTGATGTCAGGGTGCCCCCTCTCACTCCCTGTGTCCTATCTCCAGAGAGTAGAGAGGCGGCACAACAGGGCTTAGGATGGTGTTTGCTGGCTGCTTTTGAGAGTGGTGCAGGGCCAGAGCAGGGGTGAGCCTGCCTTAGCCCTTATGCACCTCCACCCAGGAGCCACCTGAGGTAAGCAGGGCCCAGCTTGGAGCCCGCATCCCGAAACTCTACCCCAGTCATGAACCCCCTCCTGCACCTCAACCTGGTGGAAGTGAGGGAGGCTGAGGGAGGGAGGGAAGATGGAGTGAGCAGGGGCGGGGCCTCTGAGAAGGGGCACAAAGTAGGTGGGGAAAAGGGTATTGGGATGTGAGGTAGATCTTAGATTGCATTTAAATTCAGAAAGTGATCTCATGCTTAAAAAGGCTGGAGACCACTGCCCTACTGCAACCTGCAACACCCTTCTGTATTCTGAAATCCTCACCCCCCCCACTGGAGCACCCTCCTGCACCCCTGGCCCCAGCCCAAAGCCCACACCCCTGCCACAGTCCTCATATCCCTTCACTCCAACCCTCTCTCACAGACCTGAGCCCCCTCCCACACACAGAACCCCTTGGCCCCAACCCCCGCCACATGAATTTCGTGACATGCATCAATACAAAGGTGATGTGCTGCTCAGCACATCATCTTGGTGCACACAATAAAATTCCTTCCGCACGGGGGTAGGAACAATGAAGGGGGAAACTCTGATTACTACCACAAGACATTTTAACTACAAAAGCTGCAGCCTCAAAAACCTTGTGGGTCTCTCTGAGATTAGTTCCTTTAATTCCAGAAAGGATCACGATGACGATTTAATCGGAGTTGCTACATAACAAAGACCACAGAATTTTCTGTTGGGCCCAAGTTTTGTTGGTGGTTGGTTTTATTCTGGTTTAACTACCCACTTTTAGTTCTTTAGACTTCCTTATTTAAGTTCCCTTTTCTAAAGCTTAAACAAAAACTGCTTGTTTTTGCCCATTCCTTCCCATGGGGACGCTGAACTTACATATACTACAGGCAACAGTACTTAGTGTCTTAACTATAGTTGCTATTTGAACCAACTTGTGAGTGTTAGGATGACATGTCTCCTCCTGTGCACTGTAGAACAAGCTGTTCCAAGAGGCATTTACTTCTTGTATCCAGAAACACTGGTTCTCGGGATCCTGTCTCGATTTAATTATGTCAGTTTATACGCCAGAAGCTACAGTCCCCCTCCACCCCACATTCTTACTGATGAGAGATTCTAAATACAGAATTAACGTTACAGCCTTACCTAGACTGGTTGGTTTTATCAGCTCATCCAGCAAGTCGTAAAAAGGTAATTTCTGAAGCTTTATGTCTGGGTGGACAGGGTGGAGCGCGGATGTTAGGTGGGGCAGTTCCAGTTCATGTTTAGGTCCCAGAAGAGAAACAGGAAGCAATGGTGACGTTGCAGGGTGGCCATCATAAGTGAGCTGTGGAATGGTAGATGGAGACAAAGTTGCTGGCATGGAAGTTGAGTGTACGCTGGGGAGAGACAAGTCTGCAGGTGTCATGATTTTCTGAGGGAACCTCCGCCTATAGAGTTCTTTAATTTTCATTTGGACAGCAGGGCTGCAGCCGGCTTTTAACAAATGCAGTGCTTTTGTGAGAAGTTCGTGTTTGCGTCCGTGCTTGTTCCTCCCCGCGTAGCCCAGAAGTACTTGCAGCTCAGAAACTCTAAGGCTCATAACCATTTGCTTGAAGACAAACAAAATTCATAAATATTAGTATGATAGTTACCACTTCTGCAGTGTCAATACTTCTGTTCAACTTTCTGACCAAAGTTTATTTAGCACTTAACATTTCTAACCCATCCTTGACGATCGAAAACACAACCTACAGTAGGATCTTGGTTATGGATTACTAGCCTCAATCTAGATCAGGGTTTCCCAACCTATAAGTCCGGACCCAAATATGGGTCGGCATTACATTTCAAAAGGGTGGCCAAGTGTCTCCCCAGGTGTGTCTTAAGGAGCCATTCACACATTTTTTGAATTGCCCTGGTCACCAAGTCTTCCTGAATTGTCAAAATGGGTCCCCATCTGGAAAAGGCTGGGAACCGTAAAATCTCGAGTATAATGCGCACCCTGACTTTTGAATCTTAGCATAATAAAAAACTGAACTCCTATATATAATGCGCACCCCATTGTACGTGGAGCTTAACTCAGACTTTTTTCTTTAAAAAGGCCAGGAGCCGACCCCGCCAGCATCAAGCCCAGCCTCGCCTGCTTCCCGGAGGCAGCCCCGGGCTGCAGGAGAGCGGGAGGGAGGAACGCGTTGCTCCCACCTGCAGGCTTGCCCGGGAAAAGCGCGCAGCCCAGGGAGCCAGCGGCAGAGTTTGAAACTTGCTCCCCGCCTCCCTGGACAGCTGCCTGTGCACCGCACCAAGCTCACATCTGCCACGGGGACCACCGGTCGCAGTCTGAAGGAGCACCAGGCAGGCAGTGAGCCAGGGCACTGCAGCCTGGCGGCACCACTGGCTCCTCACCTTGTCTGGGAGTCTGGCGGGGCGGCGGCCGCTGCGCCGCACTGCAGCGGGAAAGTTTCTGGGCGGAGGGGAGGGGGAGTTCCCCGGCCTGAGGCTACTTACAGATTCGTTGGCTTCTGCCAAAATAAAACTTTAAAATACAGCACCTATGTATAATGCGCACCTCAACTTTGATGCTAAATAACCTGGGAAAAAAGTGCGCATTATACCTGAGATTTTACGGTAGATGTAGAAAATCCGTAACAGACTTTGTGCTTTAAAGGTACTAAACTAAGGGGGATCCAAGAGCTTCATGTCTGGAGTGAAAATTTTAGGAGAAAGCAAACCAGCTTTGAAAAGATGGGCAGAGGAAGGCGGGAGGAAGATTTGTAAAGTAAGATACCAGCGCATCATTCGTAGGTTTAATTTTTCTTTGAATTATACATTTCGGCAAATGCAGTTATGGTCTAATAATTTTTGTTCCTCTAATACAACCAGAATGTTTGTGAATACTTGGAGTGCAGGACATATGTTTTAAAATACCATTCTGAATTTGCTTGTGCTACATAGAAATTTACAGTAGTGTTTTACAACAAAAAGACAGCTGACAGAGCATAAATCTGTTCATAAAAAAAAAGAATGAGAAGAAATTTCAGAGCCTATTAACTGACAATTACCAACTATCACAATGGACTATGTTAATAAAATAACTTCTACAAAGTTTGTGTATTTAATATGGATATTTGGAAGACTATTTTGTATCCACAGTCTTACTTGATTCCTAGTCCCAGGGTTTTACACTGTTTCTACCACCAGAATACTTGAGCATAGTCAAAATGATAAAAAGTCAGTAGAAATTACTAAATCAGTCACAGTGACTTAACAATCACTGTCTCTCACCTCTTTCCCCACTTCTGCTAGTCAATTTTCAACCCCATGTCAGTTCTACCTGTTCCCCACATCCCTACTAAAAAGACTGAGCACTTAAGTAAAGGTAAAAAAAAACCAAAGCTTCCTTAGCTGCCATAGTTAGTAAGTATACTCTCAATCTCAACTTGAAAAAAAATCTTACAACATTTTATCAAGGTAACTTCAAATACTAGGCTTTTTAAAAATACATTCTATTTAGGCTGTTTACTTTAAGTGGCTCCTCTAAACAGGAATGAATAACCGTTAACTTTAAAAAACAGCATAACAGTACACCATTAAGTGTTTAAAGGACATATCGCCTTGGCTTGCCTCAAGATCCATTTTTTTCCTTAGACATCTATATCCAAAGCATTGCCTGGGGGAGAGAGAGTTTTTTTGGGGAGGGTGTTTTTACATGCAAAAGAAAACCTCCAATGAGGCAGATAAAAAGGCAGCCACAAGAGCCAAAGTATTTGACAATGTTTACGTTTAGTGACACTGTCATTTTAAAAACAGCGTGACAGAAGTGAAATCAAGTGGCAAAAGAGGAACTCCCCTGGGGGCAGACAGAGGGGGAGGGGAATAGCTGCAGACTTAGGTGGTTTTATTTCCGAGTTTCATGTAGCATGGATAGGCCCTACCAAATTCACGGCTGTGAAACACACATCATGGTCTGCGAAATCTCATTTTCCCTGTGAAATCTGGCTATTGTAGGGGAGGCTCAGAGTGCCCTCACACTAGCTCCTATCATGGGCTGGCCTCCAGCTGCTAATCCCCAGCCGGGGAGGAGGAGACACAGGACTTCCTTTTCCCCTGCAGAGGCCGCTCCCAATATCAGATCAGATCCACTTCCAAGAATCTCACCAATCTGTAGGAAACTCCACCATAGCCCCATGTCAGTCCCCAGTCCGGCAGCAGGGAAAACCCGGACATATAACAACCCATCCCCCAAACCCTGTGACCCTCACTTCTATACTGCTGCTGGCACTGGTACTGACTTTACACCTCGGCATCTAGCCAGCAGCCACTGCGCTCTGGCTGCCCGCTGCTTAATGGCTGCACTCCTGCCAGCAGCAGAGCAGAAGAATTAAGGGAGGTAATCCCACAACCCCCTCTATAATAGTGCTGCACTGTCCTCTCCCAACCTTCTTTTGGATCAGGACCCTCACAATTACAACACCATGAAATTTCAGATGTAAATATCTGAAACTATGAAACTGACCATTTAAAAATCCTCTGGCCTGCAACTGACCAAAATGAACAGTGAATTTCCTAGGGCTCTAGGAATTGACTATCACTGTTGGCTGAATCTCAGTACTATGAATTTTTCAGATGCCATTTCCAATCTAAAATTAGCAACTCGCTTCTATTTTCCTTTTCACACACACACACAAAAACATATACCAGCCTCTTCTTTTCATTTATGATTGTATCCTTTGGTCCCCTTACTCTTGCATAGTCTCTCCTCCTGTTTCCAAAGATGGCCTGTTTCACTGCTTTTAGGGAACCAAGAAGATTTTTGTGAGCTAAGTGAAACTGAGAATCCTCTGTGAATACAGTACTTCCCTACTAATAGCAACAAAGTCCTAAACAAGGCTCAGGTCAGTTTCTCTTTGGAATCTCCCCAATGTCTGGGGAAGAGTTCTATTCAGAATGGCATCAGACCAATGTGTCACCACTCTGAAGGATTTGCCTGCAGGGATCATGCAAGGGATCATGGGAAATTACATGCCCACGGACCCAAAATGACCAGAAGTGTCCCCTCGCTTTTCCTTGTACACAATTTTCTAAAATCCCACCTTTATTTATTTCAGTATTTCTGATGTCAATTTAAAAATGACACATTTCAAGGTAATATTAATTGAATCTGAAATAATTGCTATAATTTGTGGGCAGGTAGCAACAAACATCTGAGTTTCCACAGTCATGGAAATTGCTGCGGAGTCCACTCCTTCCCACCATTTGCTGCTTGAAAATACTACAGAATCTGAGATTCCTTTTAAAAAAAGGATGTTGCCACTAGTGGTTACAAAGACCCTTAAGAGGCAAAATTAGCATAAAATGATGCTTTGATGTGTTCCCTAACTCAGTGTTTCATAATTTTATTTGGCCACGGAACCCTTTTAAACTCGAAAGAATTTTGCGGAACCCCTAACAGTTTGATATATGGAGCTGCAAAAGTAGACCACAAATAAGTAAGGAGAATAATAAACAAATGCTAAACAAGGTCATGAGACTTCGTCCGACACAGCGCTAGTCTATATGTATTCAGTCACCCACGTGATCCACGCTCCCTGAGAGCGAGTCCGGGGATTTACGGTGGTATACAACAGGCGATCGCACCACTGACTGACTGTGCACGTAACGCTGAGTAGTGACATCATCGTCTCCACTCTCTCGCTAAGCTGGCATTACACAGGGACATGTATTCATGAATGCTTAAATATTTATTATTCTTTTTTTTAAATAATAAAATGTTATTGTAATGGAGCACCATCTGGGAAACACTGCCCTAATTCTTCACACCAGTAAAACAATCGTTCTGATATGTATATGGCCTCATGCACTTAATGAGTTAATTCTGAAACCTAAAAGATGACATTACAGAGAACTCTCACTACTTGTAGTTTTCAGCAGAAACATACTTATCCCACAAGCCCAACCATTTTCCCCATCTCCCTAGATGTCAAGAGTCTGAAATGTTCCTACCCAGCCGCTAAAACCTCCAGCTTCCTGCATGAAATCGCCTACAGTGTGGGTAGGTGTTGTCAATGTAAGAGTCTGTGGTGAACTAAAACATAATATTTAAAAAAAAAACAGCTACAGTACCAATTATATAATTTACTTTAGTATTTAAATACCTTCATTTTAATGTAAATAGGAGTTGTCCCAGAATTTCTATTAACATAAGAAGGGTCATACTGAGTCAGACGAAAGCTCCACTTAGCCCAGTATCTTGTCTTCTGAAAGTGGCTGGAGCCAGATGCTTCAAGATGAAATTAACAAAACCGGGCAATTAATGAGTGATCAATCGCCCATCATCCAGTCCCAGCTTCTGGCAGTCAGGTTTAGGGACACCCAGACCATAGGGTTCCCACAGACAAATAGGATCCAAGCGCCATACCACAGAAATTAGGATGTGCTTGGTGCAGAGCACACATAGTTTGGGCACAGTTGAGAGATCTATTAGCATCTTTTACATATGCAGCTACCCCGTACACCTTTTCGAGCCAAAGGGTATTTCTATATATGGATTTACTTATGCAGAGCAGATGAGCTATTTCATAAGAAGAGAGGGTGTTTTGGAGCATTTCAGTCACT